CCATGCCCGCGCTCCTGGAGCGCCCCAAGCTTTCCAACGCCATGGCCCGGGCGCTGCACCGGCACATCATGATGGAGCGGGAGCGCAAGCGGCAGGGTGAGCTGGCCCACAGCCGAGCCACCCGCCACGCGCAGACAGGGGTCCCGACCGCCAGGGCTGAAGCAAGGCCGCCCAGCTCGGGGCTGTCTAGGGGCGGGGTGGGCTGGAGACTTTTCGAGCTAGGAAGGACCTTGGAGAGCACCTAATAGCCTTCCTCCGCCCGAACCCCGATTGCAGCCACGGGGGAAACCGATGCCTTCAGGGGGAGCGAGCTGACTACCAAGGGCATCGTGTGGCGTAACCTGCTTCTGTTGAACTTAACTCACTTCCCCATTCTCCTGACTCTTCCTCCAGAGGAAGAAGAGGTGGACAAGATGATGGAACAGAAGATGAAGGAAGAGCAGGAGAGGAGGAAGAAAAAGGAGATGGAAGAAAGGATGTCACTGGAGGAGACTAAGGAACAAGTAAGCAGCTCCTTGGCCCCTCCCAGCTCTGACGTCTTTTCCTGACTTGCTGCCTTCATCATCCCCCTCCCACTCCCAGATCCTGAAGTTGCAGGAGAAGCTGTTGGCCCTGCAGGAAGAAAAGCACCAGCTTTTCCTGCAGCTCAAGAAAGTTTTGCATGAGGAAGAAAAACGGAGGCGAAAGGAGCAGAGGTGGGTCCCAAGAGCTAAAAAGCACTATGGGGAGGAGAGTGGAACTGGGCACCCGTCCTTGTCTTTGACCCACCTTTCACCCCAGTGATCTGACCACCCTGACATCAGCTGCCTATCAGCAGAGCCTCACTGTCCACACAGGAGCGCACCTCCTCAGCATGCAGGGTAAGGACAAAAATCACGGGAAGGAATGGGAGGCTGCAGGTTCCCATGGGCTGCAGCATCATGGAGTCCCCCCATCTTTCTAGGGAGCCCAGGAGGACACAACCGCCCGGGCACTCTCATGTCAGCTGACAGAGCCAAACAAATGTTTGGACCGCAAGTGCTTACTGTGAGTGGAATAGGGCTGAATGCCTAACCAGACCTCGCTAGGCATCCTTGCTGTCAATGTTGAGAACAAATGTATGAAGCTTGTGAATGTATAAGGGGACATGGAACCTGCAGAGAACAGTATCTGCTTTCAAGTTGTTCTCACCTTCCTTCCTTTAGACCCGGCACTATGTGGGCTCCGCAGCTGCTTTCGCAGGGACCCCAGACCATGGACAGTTCCAAGGCAGCCCTGGGGGCGCTTATGGGGCTGCCCAGCCCCCACCTCACTACGGGCCCACACAGCCAGCCTACAGTCCAAGTCAGCAGCTCAGAGGTGAGTGGTGGGAAATGAGGTCCGATGGAAGGAGTGTTTGATTGGAGAGAAGTCGGTCCTAACGGCATCTCTCTCTGCCTTTCCCAGCACCTTCAGCATTTCCTGCAGTGCAGTACCTGTCACAGCCACAGCCACAGGCCTATGCTGTGCACGGCCACTTTCAGCCTACCCAGACAGGTGACAAGGGCCCTCCCTTCCTGTTCTGGTCATTATAGATATAGAGGGCCCCTAACCTAAAGGTCAGCAGTTCAAACCCACCAGTGACTCCTAAAGAGGAGGCTATCTCCTCTTATATTGTCTCAGAAATCGTAGGGCCCTATAGATGGGCCAGTTGGACTAGGTGGCAATGGGGCCTTTTGGGGGGGGTTTCTTCTCTAGGGTTTCTCCAGCCTGGTGGTGCCCTAACCTTACAAAAGCAGATGGAACATGCTAACCAGCAGACTGGCTTCTCTGACTCAGTAAGTAGACCCCTGGAGGCCAGGGTGAGGAATTGTGCCAAGGGGAGACCTGGCTGCCTCAGGTTTTTATGTTCTCTTCTTGTAGTCTTCCCTGCGCCCCATGCACCCCCAGGCCCTGCACCCAGCCCCTGGTCTCCTTGCATCTCCCCAGCTACCAGTGCAGATGCAACCAGCAGGAAAGGTGAGGATGGTAATCAAAGGGTTCCTATGCTATCAAGGTGGTGGGGACAAGGGGTGGTCCCCACCCAGCCCCCGGGTAGGCACCTTTTTTCTGTGGTGGTGGGCCAACTGTCAGGGTATTAGAAATGGGAAACGTATATACTGATGAAAATGTGTTACCACTCCCAGTCGGGCTTTGCAGCTACCAGCCAGCCAGGCCCTCGGCTTCCTTTCATCCAGCACAGCCAAAATCCCCGTTTCTACCACAAGTGACCGTCAGATTTTATCTTCAACCTCACTGCCCAAAGCATTGAGGGCTCCCCCACTGTGTGCCCCAGACCAATAAACTCTGCCTGCCACTGCCCAGTGCTGTTTGTGTTGCCTCTAACCCCCAATGTCTTGAACAGGTCAGGGCTGCCGGCGGGGTGGGAGGGCAGTTGGCTGGTAGGTTCAGAGGAAAGTCACTGGGACAGTGGTTACCAGTTAATGGAAACGGTTTCTGGCTTCTGAATGTGCAAGGGGGCTTCATTCAAAGCATTCATGGAAATTTTTCACTTTCATGAAATTGTGTGAGGCTCCCTTGTGCTTTCTAGGCAACAAAGTCCCATTCACCTCAAATCCCACAAAAGCAGCTAAATTGGAGGCTTCATATTAAACTTGTTTTATTCAGGTTTGATTTTAACAAATGCGTTGGGGAGAGGGCCCAAAGGAGAAGATGAAGCCCGTGGGAGCAGGGCCCTCCCAGATGCCTGAGGAGGGGGCTGGTCTCCTCCTTTCTCTTCTTCCCTCCCCATCTAAAGGGGGCTTAAGGGGGAGATAGGCAGGGGAGGGGCTGGTCCCCAGTCTTTGGGGTGGTGTTTGGAGGGAAAGGGATACAGGAACAGGAGACCAGACCAGGGACGAGAGAAGGAAGGGCAGAGGACCATGACCAGAATCCATAGCGTTCTGATTCCAGATTGAATTTAAAAAAACAAAACAAAAACTAAGCCATAAGCAGCACCTGCCCCCTTCCCCATCCTGGGCTGTAGTGCGAGGGGAGAAGAGGAAGGCAGCTTCACCAATGCCATTGCTCACTCCTGGCCAAGGGAGCAGGGTGAAGGGCAAGGGGTCCCCGACAGATGGGAGAGGGGGAGGAGAAAAAAACCAAAATAAAACATCAAATAAATTGTGTAGGAGTTCAGCCAGGGGCCAGGCCAGGCTGAGGGAGGGGGCCTCTGCAGGCTCCGGGGTCCCTGCCGCCGCCGCCGCCGCCACCCTGGGTAGGAGAGAGACCCTGTGAGACATGGCAACGTGTGGAACACAGGACTTGGCTAGGGGCAGGATAAACAATGGACCGGCAAGACCAGTGGGACTTTTGGATGGGAGCAATAATGTGCACGTGACGGAAGGGGATCATTCTACTTACTTACCTGGGAGCCAGTTATTTCGCCATGGCCTTGATTGCAACAGCTGCCTCCTCTGTCATGGCAGACAGCACTGTGATCTGGGGGAGGAGGCAGAGTGTGAAGTCAGCAGATGCCCAAACTCACAGAGAAACATAACCAATAAATTTGGACCCAAAGCAAAGGGGACAGGGGTGCATCCTACCAGGATCTCTTCTCCACAGTCATACTTCTGCTCAATCTCCTTGCCGAGGTCACCCTCAGGCAGACGAAGGTCCTCCCGAACCTCTCCACTGTCCTGGAGCAGTGATAGGTATCCATCCTGAATGCCAATCAGCTGGGGGCAGATAAGGAAGGATGCTGAAGGAAGGTCCAGGTAGATGGAAGACAAAACATCTAAAATACCTTTCTCCTGCCACCTTACCCCCAATTCCTGGCGCACACACCTTTTGATCCTCATCCTCCTTTCCCCAACCCCACCCGACCCACTACCTCAACCTCTCTCGGGCTATCTACATACCTGGAAGTCATTCCTTTTGATGTTGGGGACATCCATGTTGTGAGTTGAGGGGCAGATATCTTCGTATTTCTTCCCAGTAAAGATGTCAATACCAACCAGGTGAACCTGTATGTACGTATGTATCACATCAAAGATAAACTCAACCAAACTCCAGGATGGAGGAGAAATACTCAGGGTGTCCCTGACTGGTACGGGAAGTCAGACTAGGACAAAGAAAGGAGGTGGGGTTGAGACAATTTAGGAAACACTAAAGGCTCTTTAAAAAAAACGGGGGGGGGGGGGGGGGGGGGGGCGGGAACACATGACAAAACTCAAGGCAAACTCCCTCACCGTTGAGATTGGGGTTGACAGCATGAGAAATTAGTGAGCAGATTTGCCCACAAGATGCCCAGAGCCCAGTAAAAACCCAGGTTAAAGGAAAGGATTTTCTGAACAACAGATTAAACGAGCGGACAGCCTTGGAGATGAAGAGTGCAGAGAGAGAGAGGCTGGAAGTTGAAAAAACGAGATACGAATAGAGCTAAAGAGGAAAACAGTTATATTGTGCAGTCGAGGAAAGGAAACCAGAAAGCAGGAACCTGGGCATCGAGGGAGCATTACAGGACAAATGCTCACTCAACAAGGGTGGAGCAACAGAGCTGAGGACACAGAACAATTCCAACAAGGATAAAGCAGGATGGGACAGCCTTTTGAAGGAAAAACGGAAAAAAAAACGGAAGGCAAGGGCAGCACTAGCAAGCATGAATGTTAAGAACTGAGAAGCAAAGTGAATTTGCGATTCAAGGAGGGGCTGGCAGAGGCAATTTGCTACCCCATGAGATCCAAGGTGAAATGGAACAGGAGTAAGGAACAGCAAGGTGACTTCTGTGTTAGGACCAAGAAACCCTGAGCAAAGTAATGAAAACAAGGGAAAAAAAAAAAAAGGAAACCAGCAAAGAACCAGCCAAATAGGCATTAGGAAAGTACCAAGAAGTTGGGAGATTGGTACAAAAGACTACCAGAGAGTGGTGGTGGTCTAAGTGCAGAGGTTAAGTATGGAGGAAGCCAAAGACTTGAGAAACTGGCCGTCTGAATAAAGGACTGAATGTGGAACAAAAGGAATTAAGCAGAAAGACAGGTGCAAAAAGAGGCAGAGGGCCAGGACTGTTGACAGCTTGTTGCTGGAGGTTTGGGAGAGGCAAACGCAGAGAAGTGAGATTCTAACCTTGGCGTGGCCATGCTTGCCAGTCTTGGAAGTAGACATTTCGACGATCTTACATGGCCGGCCTTTGAGTACCACAAAGCCATTCTTCCGTAATGCTGAGCACTGCATTGGGAAGGTGGCTGAGGCCCCTGCATCTCCTGTCTCGAAGTCCAAATCATCTGCCATTTTAAAAGGCTTCGATTCCAACTGGAGTCAAGAAGAGAATGGGGGTCAGTGAAGAGAGGGTAACAGGACCTCCCACCTAGCCCACTGTGAAACACTGCTCCGTTTCCACCCCCATGCTCCAGTGCTTTAAACCAAACCCACTGCCACTGAGTTGATCCTTACTCAGAGTGACCCTGTAAGGACAGAACCGCCCCATAGGTCTGGAAGGCTGCCGATACTTTCAGATGCTGACTGCCTCATCTTGCTACTGGGTAGCAGCTAGTAGACTTGGACCACTGACTTTTTGGTTTGAAGCCAACCGCTTTAACCACAGAGCCAGGAGGACGCACTTTCATTACCTTACCAACCTAAAATAAGGGCTAAGTTTCCGGATTAAATACTGTTTAGAATCAGATACCTAAACACAGTTGGGAAATGAGCTATCTGGGCTCACCCTAAAATGAGCCCTATACAGAATGGCTCAAGGGAGATGAGATACCACATTTCAGGGATGGGCAAAGGCCTAATTCCTGGGAGGGGGAGGACTCAGGTGTTACTGAAATCACCCATCCTTCAGTCACACACAAACCAGGGCTATAATTAGGTGAGCAGCTATGAGCCAGCAAAAGGGCAGGGCTAATGGGGGAGGAGATCAGAGGACAGGGCCCCACCCATCTGTTACTAACCCCCCACCTCCCATTCAAACACTAGCCAGTCACTGGGTACAGGAAACCACAAGGCCTCTTTGGGGGATTCCCACCTCCCCTACATGCGTTTGCAGATGCAGCAGAGAGGAAGAAAGGAAAGTTGTTTCCCAACTAATCCTCCTGCCAAATAGAAGGATCTCGGTTCCGAAGGGAACCCAGGCACCCAGTCTCTCTTCAAGGGCCCTCCCACTTTTCCCAGGATGCACCGGTTCTGTCGGCTTTTCAGGCTGGGCCTGTACAGTCAGTAGAAGTGGGGGTGTAGGGGTGGTGAATGACAATAAAATGAAAGCAAAAGGCTGGTAGTAAAAAGTAGTAGAAATTACACTAGGCAACTAGAATTAAGGACTCAAAATCGAGGAACTCCCAAATTGGACACAACAGAAAGGACAGTGACAAGGTGAAGAGTACTCATCACTATGGGTAACTCATCTGCCCAGGAGTTGAAAGCGCTGTCGACCTCAGCAAAGAAGAGTTTGGGAAACTGTCCAATCGCCCTTGGCTTCCCCATTTCTCTGGCCTCTCAGCTCGGAATGCCACTTAAACACCTGGCTGGCCACCTTACTTCACATGAGGATTGTAAGAAAAGCTTCCAAGGGCCCACGAGGTGGGAGAGCGCTAACATATGCCCGCAGCAGACTCAATGCTGGTCGGTACACAGGCTTCGGGCTGCTCCCGCTCCCCCAAATTCCAGGCTCCTCTGGGCACCCACGAGGCTCAGCCCTGCCGGAGACAGGGGCTGCCGGCTCCCGCCCACCATGTGCCCGCCTGGGGCTTCCGGTGGCCCGGACCTGGGGGGAGGGGTCCTGTGCTGCCATGCGGGCCCCGTCCACATTCGGCCATGCGGCCTCCGACCCTGAGGACAGCCTCCCATGGGGGGCACTTCCGGTGGCGCTGCTGTCCCC